AGCCTTGCAGNTAATGAGCCTCCAAGACCAAAGAGTGGACAAAGGAGAGACAAATCTTTGTTTCTGAATGGTTCTGGTGGCTCCCTTCCTTCCCTATTTTGGTTTGGCAGAGCTGGCTCACCAGAACTGTTCAACAGAAAAGCAGCTCTCACTGATACCAGCTATGTTAGTATACAAAATACCTACTCCCTTTTTCTAACAAGGCTATTGCCCCAACCAGGAATCTCACTGTTACATAGTTGATTAGGTGCTCTCTATCTCTTCCCAATTCCTCCATAATTTTATAAGGTGGTATGTGAGGAAGGGGTCCTCTCAGGATCACTTTTCATGGTGAATCCAGCTGTGATCAGTCCAGGTACACCTTGCCATGGAATAATGACAGCTCAGAGGACACTGTATCCTCTACTGCTTCTTAGATTGTAAAATTTCCTCTATAAAATCTACCTTATGCCTACAATTTGCTTCACTAGTAATATGCCCTTTGTACAACATTTAAGTGAGGAGATTATGAGCTTTTAATGGTAACATTAATGTTCATTTGTAGAAATTTATACCGATAAAAATTGGAAAGAAACAAAATATTTTAACAGCTATTTTACTTCAGAATTAGATCATTCTTTTTCTTTGTAGATAATACCTTCCTTGACCACCCAATCTAAATTATTCTTCCCAGTGACCCTCTATCAGATAGAGAGTTTCATAATCTTCATTTATTACTCTCTAAATTTGTCTGGTTCTTTTATCTTTACTTGTTTGTTGTCCGTCTCTCCTATTATAATGTAAGCACCACAAGAGAAGGGGTATTATCTGTATTATTTTTCAATAAAACTCAATACCCAGAAGAGTACCTGGCATATGAAGGTGGCAAAAATATTTGTTGAATGAATGAGTTTTGTGAATAAATGAATGAGTAAATTTAACAGCTGATCATCTATTCTATGGAGAAAAAATGAACATGTAACGATACTCTTCTTTTGTATGTTTTTGTGCTTTATGACAAACCTAAGCAGTATTGGGGGTGGGAAATTCCTAACAAAAGGATTTAGAAAGAAATAAGTTGAATGTGTAAGTCTTAAAAAAAAAAAAACCCAAGAATTAGGTTACATTTTCATTTCTAAAAGATGTTGATTTCAATGCTGTAAAACATTTTAAAAAATCTAACAATGCATATGACATGAAAAAATAAATTATTAAAATGTATTGTCCGATTAAATATTTGCCACTAACTCATTCCCTAAGCCAAAATAAACTGCTGAATGTTGTAAAGCACAAAGAAAAAATATTCTTTATTGTAAGCAATACCATGTGTCTGATCAGGTGGGGTCTCTAAAAAAAAAAAAAAAAAAAAAAAAAAATCTAACAATGCATATGACATGAAAAAATAAATTATTAAAATCTATTGTCCGATTAAATATTTGCCACTAACTCATTCCCTAAGCCAAAATAAACTGCTGAATGTTGTAAGGCACAAAGAAAAAATATTCTTTATTGTAAGCAATACCATGTGTCTGATCAGGTGGGGTCTCTTTACTTCGTTCCCATCCACTTTCTGAGGGTTTGGGAGACTTTTCCAAAGTATTTCAGAAATACTATTAGTATCTAAGAAGTAACCCAAAATGAAGGCTGATAAATAATATTGTGCCATGTGCTTAATAGCTTGAATTTTTATTATATTTAGCAATATTTAACCTAAAGCTGTTATGGGCAATTCTATAAAACCTAAGCTGAAGCAACCTATTTCATGTCATATTTCCAATTATTGGGCTTATTCTAGACTCTAAACAAAATGAATTACTGACCTTTCCCTGAGCACACTGTATAGATTCTAGAGACCCTCATCTTTGTTTCAAAGCAAAATTCTATCCACCTTGAACACCTTTTCCTCATATTTCCCTATTAAAATCCAATCTATCTTTCTTAAATTAAATGCTGCATAATTCTCAATCCAGCCAAAAATAACTTTTCTTCCTTTTCAATGTAGCTTCTTGGTAACTTTGTGTAAACTGCATCTTGTGTATTATATTTTACTTATTTTTGTACATGTCTTGTCTGCCTTACTAGACTATTAATGCATTGAGGTCAATGACCACATATTTATCATCCTTTTATACCCCATAATATCTAGCACAGTGCCTTTCATGGCAGGGACACTCCATCAATGTCTCTTCATTAGAGCTAAATTGGATCAAAATCAATTTAAATAATCTTCCTCCTTAAGTTAGAGAACATTACATCAATCAACATTTCTAGAAAAAAAAAAGTACTTTCAAAATTATTTGATATTCATTCTATGATTATTTTCTGATCTTGATGTCCTATATTCCCTATCATCCTCAGTCTGTTCTTCCCCATTGAACCCTTCTTCTGCTCTACCACTTTCCATTATAACTCCCAAATGTGACTTATCAGCAAAGTAGAATTGGAGCTGGCAGGAGTAGTAACTCACAGTAACCCTCTCATAACCCCTTTTCAAGATTTTTCCAAAGGCCCATGGAAACTAACTGAGACCACCTTACTATGCTTTCATAGAAACTATAGATTCTCTTCAAAATACTTTTTTTAAGCCAATGTTTCTACTTTCTGAGATATACCAAGTGTATAAAGAGTTTATCAAATTCAACAGAAACAACTAAATGCCCATTATTAAAACAACTTATATCAAAAGTTATCACTTCAAGTTCTTCAAGGTGATACATTTTTGACTTTCCAGCATATTCAAAGCCTATAATTAACCATGTTGCCATAGAAAAACTACAGTATATGCCATGTTCTACCACAATCTGAGCATGAATATAAAAACACAATGCTTTATTTCTTTCTATTTCTACACAGTTCATAAGATGGTTAAGTTCCCATGAAAGTCAAAGATAATTATTAATACGTTTTCTTGTACTCTCTAAAATATTCATAATTCTGACCATTAAGTATTTAAAATGTAAAGGAATAAGTGACAACACATCAATCACAATAAGTTTACAAAGCAACAAATAAGCCAATGTCTAATTTTCTCTTAAGATTAAAAACATATACTTTTAAAAATATAAATTATCCATACCAACATTAATATTGGACCTTTCAAAACTTCTGGCCATTAATCATTACACTTATGTAATTCTTGCTAACTCATCTGGGTCTATAACCTAGAAATATTAAAAATGTCAATAAAGCACAGAAGTACATACTTCTATGTAATTCATTTCTCTTTTCTGCATGGTAATCAAAGTCAAAATTTTACACATTAAGCTCTGTATAATTAAGGAATAAGTAATTGCCTCATATACATTTAATTTGAATTCTCAATAATTCATGTGAATGACTGAAAAAAACATTGACACAGTTTATTCTCATTGGATGGTAATCTAACTCTTACTGACAGAATTTGTTGCCCCACTAATATATCTGGCTCAGGCTTACTGTTTCTTATCTGAACAGGTTTGTGAATCAATCATAATATGCTAACCAAACAGACTCACTAGTGAAAACTATAAAATTGAATCATATAAATCAATCAACTCAATTATAAATATGCATATACATGCACATAAGTAATTGAGCACATAAATATGAAGTGATTGAGAAAAATAAAAGCAAAAAAAGTTTTTAAGTGAGTTGTTTATATACTTACCTCATGCATCCTGATGATAACTAAATTTTAAATAAGTGCCTCACTATGTAAAAATTTAATTGTTGTTTTCAGAAAAAAAAAACAGTGTGTTTGTACATTAGACATGGTCCTCAATTGAAATTTTTTATTAAAAATTTTTTTTGACCACATACAAATTTTTCAGTCTTTGACATCTAAAATGTTAAAACTTTCTTTTTAAAATTAGTTTTAAAGATAAGACTACAATATTGTAAGCAAAGCTATAAATCAAGATTTATGACAGTTAATTTAGAATGACTATTTTCATCACATAGGTATGTGAACTGATAAAGATAAGAAAAAGAACAAATTTTCTTAAATGTTTTACCTTTCTTCAATTGGTCTTCCATTTTGGACAACTGAGGTCTGTGATAAAGATAACACTAAATGTATATACCAAATATGCATATAAAATGTTTACATTATTTCATTTAGAAAAATATCATTCAAAACAGTTTTTTAAAATGATAATTTTGTAAGATTAAGGTACCAAAAAAGCCAAGAAATTATCAGAATTTAGCATTGATAGAGACATTACAGAAGAGGAATGGGTCCCAAATTATACTCATATTTCTAAATTAACAGCAAAGAGAGTTATACACTTTTAATAAACAAAAATTATTTAAAACTTATCTACTACATAGTTATCTAATCCTTTTAAATGTTCTTCTCGAAGGGCTTATAATGTTCATATAATCATATACTATACTAATATACTAGGGTGGTTTTTTTTTTTGTAATTGACAAATTTTTCAGAAAGTACTTTGAGAATGAATGCATGCTCAAAATATGTTTAGTGAGGTGTGTGACTAAAAATGTTAGGAGTCCAGTGGCCTCAAAAGTGTGATCTTATTAATAAATTACCTCTTGTGAATGTATCAGATATTTTCTTATAGCATAAATATTGATTCTAGGTTTTATTTCAGGCCTGAATTTCATCTAACTTGGCTTCTTTTATACAGATATTAGCTGGCTTTATACTTACCTACCTGCAACAAAGACTTCTCAATATTTACCAAACTAATTTTCTTTTCTTCTTAGGTATGTGACTAGTCTACATTTCTAAGTTCCCTTTGCAATTAAACGTGGCAAATAGAATATGAGAGAAATGATGTACACCACCACTTCCAGCCAGGTCAATGAAAAGTATTCATGTTTGTCCTCCATATTCTTTTCTGATGGCTGAATTTCTATGCTCAGTGTAGCAAGGAAACCACAAGTAAGATGGTAAAACTTCCCTGTGCCAAAAGAGGCATAGAGAATTTTTAAAATAATTTATAAAATGCAGTTAAAAATAATATGAAAGATAAATTACTTACAGCATATAATACTGTCTCTATTTTGGTTATTTCCTTACCTGTGGATTTTCTTCGATTTTATCATTTGTCTTTTGTCCACCTGAGACTGACACAATTGTTTTTCTTGTTTCTTTCTCCACTGGTATATTGTTTGAATCTTCACCTTTAATTTTCGTTTTACTAATATCCACTTCAATTGTTGTCTTGGTCTTCCCCTCACTTTTAAGTAACTCCTTTTGATTTAGGAAATAGGTGAGTTGATGCTTAGCTTTTTCCACTTCCTGTTTTTAAAAAAGTACCAGTTTATCAAGAGCTGTTTTCTATGATATTTTCCTGCCAATACTACAACCTTGATGAATTTGCATATATTTTTCAATTTTTATTTTACTTATTTGGAGGAAGCTAAGTTAAGCCATTGGTATAATCAATAGCTTAAAAGCCTCACAATTTAAATAGAAAGCTATAAAGAAACCTCTTACACTTCTAGGAGTTATTTTTATACCCAGAAGTTTTTCCTGGCTCTTATTTTTAAGGTTTTAATTATTATATAAGCAAGATAAATATTTTTAAAAGATATACATTATAAAAAGTGATAGATTGTAACTAGGATAATTAATATCTGTATATACCAAAGAATGAAAGAAAATATGAAAAATAATTTATTTCTTATAGAATGAAAATCTTTTTTAAAATGTCACTGTTTATAATTTTTATTTAGTTATACAATAACATAAGTTATTTATATGAAAGAATATATAGATCAACAAAAAGAAAATTTACAAGAAATCTCACCATATACAGAAAAATCACTGTTAACATTCTGATATATATACTTAATTATTTCTAAATATAGCTAAGGCATACATATATATATATATTAGTTTTATCTAGATTGGATCATACGACATGTATTCACATAATACCATAGATATGTTTCTATGACAATTAATATACATTTAAATCAGAATGGGTAACAGAAGTACATTTAATAATACACCATAAATTATTTAGCAGATTCCTTATCAATGAACATTTAGGTAATTTCAAAATTTTTGCTATTAAAAATATTACATCAGACATACTTGTGTAAAATCTCTATACATTTTTTTATTCTTTAGAATAAATTTTTAGAAGTGAACTTGTTGAGTAAAAAGCCAATATCTATCCATGTTTTGCTATATATTTTCCTCCAGAAAAGTATCAATTCATACTCATAATAGAAATATGTGAAAGATTGCTCATTTTTGCATATACCCACAAATATTTGTTCCTTAAATTTTTACCAAAATGGTAGGTAAAAAATCTATGCCACTATTATTTTTAATTGCACCTATTTGATAACTAGTGAGTTTGAATACACATGTATGTATTTATTGCTCATGTGTGGTTTTGAATGATGACTTGCCTATTTATATCCTTTGAACGGCTATCCATATTTCTTGCAGGTTTGTAAAGTATCTTCATATGAAAAAATTTTCAAATCTTTTCTATTTATCTTTATATATTAGAATAGTTTACCATAAAAAAAGTTTTGAATTTACCTATAGCCAAATACATTAACACATTCCTTTGAAGTATAATGCTTAGAAAGCCTTGCTCTAGCTAAGACCATATAACTGTTACCCAGTGTTTCTTCGAATACCTGGTGAAGGTCTTGGTGGTGGTTACAGTGATGGCAGGGTACCACATTGTGAAGATGGCAGAGCAGAGAGAGAGACAGGCTCTCCTCTCCTTTTAAAGCCCTCAGAACCATGCCCATGAACACCATTTTTAGTCCATTCACTAATGCATGTTCCTACAACCCATCACCTCTTCAAGGCTCCACCATTCAACTACCGTAATAGCATTTCCCACCCTCTTAACAGTCACAGTGGGGACTAAATTTCTAATACATAAAACTTGGGGGGCACAACTCAAGCTTTAATGAGTTTGGGGGGAACATAATTCAAACCACCATACTACCCAAAGCAGTCTACAGATTCAACACAATCCCCTCAAGATACCAATGACATTCTTCACAGAAATAGAAAAATCAATCCTAACATTCATGTGGAACAACAAAAGACCCTGAATAGCCAAAGCAATCCTGAGCAAAAAAAAAAAAAAAAAAGCTTGAAGCATAACACTGCCAGATTTCAAATTATACTACAAAGCTATAGTAACCAAGAACAGCATGGTATTGGCATTAAAAACAGATGCACAGACCAATGGAACAGAATCAAGAACCCGGAAATCAACCCATACACCTTTGGCCAACAGATCTTCAACAAAGGCAGCAAGAACATACACTGGGGAAAAGAAGAACTATTTGATAAATGGTGCTGGGAAAAGTGGACATCCATATGTAGAAGAATGAAAATAAATCTGTACCTCTCTCCATAGACCAAAATCAACTCAAAATGGATTAACGACTTAAATATATGTCCTGAAACTATAAAACTCCTAAAAGAAAACATATGAGAAACACTTCAGGATGTAAGACTGAGCAAAGACTTTATGAATACGACCCCCAAAGCACAGGCAAAATAAGGAAAAATAAACAATGGGATTATATCAACTAAAAATCTGCACAGCAAAAGAAACAATTAACAGAGTGAAAAGACAACCTACAGAGTGGGAGAAAATATTTGCAAACTATGCAACCAACAAAGGATTAACATCCAGTGTATAAAAGGAACTCAAACAACTTAATAGTAAAAAACCCCACAAATCACCTAATTAAAAAATGGACAAAGGAGCTGAATAGGCATTTCTCAAAGGAAGATAACACAAATGGCCAACAGACACATGAAAAAATGCTCAACATCACTCAACATCAAGGAAGTGCAAATCAAAACCGCACTGAGATATCATCTGACTTCATTTAGACTGACTGTTATCAAAAAGAGAATAACAAATGCTGGTGAGGATATGGAGAAAGGGGAACCCTCTTACACTATTGGTGGGACTGTAAATTGGTGCAGCTGTTATGGAAAATGGTATGGAGGTTCATCAAACAAATACAGATAGAATTGCCATACAACCCAGCAATCCCATTTCTTTATATAACCCAAAGGAATGTAAATCATTGTGTCAAAGGGAAACCTGTACTCCCATGTTTATTGAAGCTCTATTTACAACAGCCAAGAGTTGGAACCAACCTAAATATCCATCACTGGATGACTGGATAAGGAAAATGTGGGATACTTATGCAACAGAATACTACTCTGCCATAAAAAAGAATGAAATGCTGCCATTGGCCACAACATGGATGAACTTAAAGAAAGTTATGTTAAGTGAAATAAGCCAGGCACAGAAAGAGAAATATTGTGTGTTCTCATTCATGTGTGGAAGCTAAAGAAGTTGATCTTATAGAAGTAGAGAGTAGAATAATGGTTACTGAAGACTGGTAAAGGGAAGAGCAAGGAGGGATGGGGAGAGGGTGGTCAACAGATACAAAAATATAGGAGATAAAAAGAATAAGCTCTGGGCCGGCCTGGTGGCACACTCAGTAGAGTGCGGTGCTTGGGAGCGCGGTGGCGCTCCCGCCGAGGGTTCGGATCCCATATAGAGACCGGTCCGCTCACTGGTTGAGCGCGGTGTGGGCGCGACACCGATGGTTGCAATCCCGTTACAGGTCACGAAAAAAGACAAAAAGGAAAAAAAAAAAAAAAAGAATAAGCTCTAATGTTCTATACCAATGTAGGGAGACTACAGTCAACAACAAATAACTATAACTTCAAGCAGCTAAATGAGAGGATTTGGATGTTCCCAAAGAGGTGACATATGTTTGAGGTGATGGATATGCTAAATACCTTAATACAATCACTGCACATGGTATAAATGTACCCAAATATTACACTGTACTCCATAAATATATATAACTATCATGGGTCAATTAAGAAAAAATGAATTAAAAAGAGAGAAAACTTTGATAGACAGAGGTAGACTGGATGTTACCAGAAATTGTGGGGAAGGAATAGTGAGAAGTTATTGCTTAATGGTTATAGAGTTTATGTTTAGGATAACAAAAAAGTTTTGGAAGTAGATAGAGGTGATGGTCACACAGCATTATGAATTTAATTAATTCCTCACAATAGTATATTTTAAAATCTTAAGGGGCCAGCCCGGTGGCGCACTGGATAAGTGGGCCGCTTGGGAAGCACGGCGGCGCTCCCGCCCGAGGGTTCGGATCCCACATACAGACCGGTTCCCGCTCACTGGCTGAGCGAGGCACGGGAGCAGCACCGAGGTTGCAATCCCGTTGCCGGTCCCCGGTCCGGTACGGGGGCAACACTGAGGGTTGCGATCCGTTGCCGGACACGGAAAAAGACAAAAGACAAAAAAAAAAAAATCTTAAAATGGCAGTCCTTCCGTTATATATATTTTACCACAATAAAAAAAAGAAAAAGAATTGTGCATATTTTTTGTCAAACATGCTATTCTAATTTCATGCTAGAGTGATATGAATAACGTTTTTTCTGTTTTCTGAATTACATATTTGAACATTATTTTCTAAATAATTGTTTCTGATAAAAAGCAAATCTATTGCTTTCTTATTTTCTGCTGTATTCTAAAACCTATTCTATTTTGTTTTGAGCCACCTTTTTGAACTATGTCATTAATAACTGTTGATTATCTGGTATTTTTAAGAAAAACAATTATATAACATACAAATACTTATACTTTTGTCTACCCCCTTATGAAAATGTTTGTAGCTTTTTTCATTTCTTCTTTTATTGTTTAGCTAGAATTCGAAAAAGAGCAGTAAGAGCCAGCATACTAGTTTAACTGAGTTTAAGTGGAATGCCTCCAGTATTTTACTTTTAAGTATATTTTCTATCAGTTTCAAGAAGTTTGCTTTTGTTTGATTAAGAAGGTTAATTTTCTTTCTAGCTGAGTGTTTTTAACAAGAATGAAAATTAAATTTTATTAACACATTCCTATTGCAAAATACAAATATACTTTATACCTGGCAATATAGTACAATGTACAGACCTATTAATTTGTCTGACCAAAATTATTCTTTTAAAAAGTTCCTTATGGATATTTTCTTCACCAGTTAACAATTTTAAAGAACTGCAATATACTTTACCTGTAAAGCCTGTTTCAGTTGTTCCTGAAGAACTTTGTTCTCAATTTCCAGAGTACGTGCTACTTTCTAGGAAGTAATAAGAGGAGAAAGTATTCACCTTGATAATTTTCTATTAATTTCTTTTTACCATTATTACTTTTCTAAAATCCATAGAGAGCCAACATGATGATTTGAGCATACACATTTAACTCAGGCATAATGGTGGATAATACCTGAAGCTATCTCTCTATTAATTTTCTACAAGCAAATTGTCTATCCTGGAAAATTACAACTACTTTAAATTAAACATTTTACATAAAATTACATCCTGGAAAATTACAACTACAGTAAATTAAACATTTTATTTCTCCTTTTCTCTAGGTCTGAGATATTTAAATAGAAACATTTCAAATTTTACAAAAATAAGAATCTCTACTCTTAACACAAAATAAACATAATTCTGACTTTGTGAGAAGGAGTTCTCCATCAGATGGGGAGAGTTTGAGGACCATATCTAAAGTCCCCAGTTCTGCTTCTGGAATGGCAGAGCAAGTTCCCACTGAATAAACCTTGCTACACATAACACCCATAAACTCTGAACAAAATACAAATATCAACACTGGAGAGCAATCATGAGTATGCAGATTCTTGAAGGCGGGTAACACTTGAAAGAAGGGAAAAGTCCGAGGTAAGAGTCTCATTTTCATGGCTTTTAGTTTGTGGGCAAGCCCTATCTGACCCATACAGGGCACCTAATAACTTACAGAAAACTTGAGTTGTTATAACTTACAAACCAGAAGACAAAGTCCAGGATAGCCACACCCACTAGAAAGGTTAGGGGAAAGTCACACAAAGAAGAGAGCCAGAGACAGGAAGCCCCAAATTCTTTGTATAAATTCTACCCAAATCTCCCCCTGACACCTGAACTTTTAGCCTAGCAACAGCTAAAAGAACTAAAGTGCAATTTGAGCTTCTACCTAAATATAGAATTTGCATTTTGCATGAAATCATGCTAATTATATACTAAAGAAGAAAAAACAGTACCAATTATCAGAAAAATGAGAGAGTCCAGAGTACCAACGTGATATTTATAATATCCAGGATACAGTTTAGAATTACTTGACATTTGAAGAAACAGAAAAATGAGACTTAAGATAAAAAACAATCAACAAAGAGTGATCCCAAGATAATCCAGATTTTAGAATTAGCATACAAGACTTTTAAAGCAACCATTATAAAAATGCTCAATGTAAAGGAAAATATGCTCGTAATAAATGAAATGATGAAAATATCAGCAGAGAAATACAAACTATAAAAAAAAGCCAAATGGAAATTCTAGTACTGAAAATTAAAATATTTGAATTTAAAAATTTAATATATGGGCATAGAAACAGAATGGATATGACAGTGGAATAAGTCAAACCACCTGAAGATGCATCAATAGAAAATATCCAGTTTAAACACAAAGAACGAAGATTTTTTTTAAATAATAAATACTGAGATATATGGGGGGAAACATCAAGAATCTAACATGTCATTGAAGTCCCCTAAGGAAAAGACATACAGGTAGAAAAGTATCTAAAAAATAATAGTTAAAAATCTCCCAAACTTGTTGAAATTTAAATACTTGAGATACATAAAAAAAAATCATGCCCACACACAACAATGTTAAATTGTTGAAAACCAAGTAAAAGGAGACAATCTTGAAAGCAGACAAAGAAAAATGACATATTACACACAGGGAAATGGTGAATTGAATGCCTGCTTCTTATAAAAAAAAATGAAGGCCAAACAAAAATAGAAAATCATCTCTAAAGGGTAGAGCATATGCCACTTTTCTGAAAGAGTTATTTTAAGAAACAAAAGCTTTTAATCTACATTTTATTCTCATTGAAATTAGAGAGGAAATTGAAATTTTATAGCATCTACAAAAGCAGAAGCAAGTAATAATTGGGACAAAAATAAACCTTCTAACCACTTCTCAAGGGATCTCAGTATACAGCCTATGAGTTGTTAAGGAAATTCATATCCATAAACAGGCACAAAAATATAATAGACCATCTGATGAGGCTAAGTAACTTCAGAGAGGAAGTTGAGCAATCCAAAGAGGTAGGCCCTCCTAATGCAGAGCTAAAGGGACAGATAGATAATAATTAGAAAGAAAACATTGGAATGCTGATGCAGTTCTCTGATAAATGTAATTGGAGCCCTAAATTAAGGTCTCCTAAAAATTATTTTTAAAAACAAAAGAGGATAGCTCAGCTGGTTAAAATGCAGTGTTACAACATGAAGGTCAAGGGTTCAGATTCCCGCATCCACCAGTCACCAAAAAAAAGTTTTTAAAACAACACAAATATAATTTTTATCTTAAAATTCAAGAGGAAGTGAAAAGAAAAAAAAATTACTTCTGAGAATAGATTATAGATTAAGAAATCTTGTAAAGTAAATGAAAGATCTCATAGCACAGAACAAACATACAAATAGAAGCCATAACTGAAGAGATAGAAGACTTAAAGAACAGATATAGAAATCATAATATTCAAATATGAGTTCCAGAGGGATAAAAGGAAGAAGAAAATAATAATAATGAAAGAAATAACAAAATAAAACTTCGTTGAGAACAGAACTGAGGCTACTAGAAGTGGGAAAGGGAGAGAAGGGAAGTTAGAAAGAAATTCACATAGGGCAACAAAAAATGATTACATTGTGCAATGTTAAATATACTAATTATCCTGATTTGAGCATTGCATATTGCACACAGATAATGATATTCTATGCTGAACCCCACAGGTATGTACAATCAATTATGTTTCAGTTAAAAAAGAAAAGAAAAATTCCCTGAGATAAATAAAAATTTTGAGAGCTGGTAAAAATTTCTAAATTTCTAAAAGAAATGAGGGCTAAAAGTAAGGAGGAGACTGGGTCCCAGATAATATCAAACTACTATATCCACTGAAACCATCTATTTAAACTTTACATGAGAAAAACATAATATTCTACCTTAAGCCATTGAATTATATGGGGTGTCTTTATATATCAGCCTAGCCTATTTCTAACGAATAAAGATATAGAGAAATAAAAATAAAACAAATCTAGATTATATACAAGAAGAGAGAGAGATTGTATACCCCACTGTGGTAGACTACAAATGGCCATAAATTCTTTGCAGTAGCTCCCATGAAAAGGTGGAGTCACTCCTTGAAATTTAGCTGGCCTGTGACTTGTTTGGGCCAAGACAATACAATGCAAGTTGCACTGTGAGATCTGAGCTTAAGCCCCAAGAAATCTTTCAGATTTGTTTCACTCTCTTACTTGTGGGAACACTTCTGTAAACTACCCAAGGTTAGCCTCCTGGAAAATAGGAGACCACAAAGAGGTCCCAACTGTCCCAGATGTCCCAGATGGAACATCAAACATATGAGTAAAACTATCTTAGACCATCTATTCTGAGATGCGTCTGCCAGAGAGAAGACCTATCCAGCTACTGAAAGAAATAGTGAATCTGCTGTTTTAAGTCACTAAGTTTTTGAACAATTCGTTATTTAAGAAAAGCTAACTGTTATACCTAGCAATAGAAAATGGGTATTATTTTATGTCATTAGAACACTTGCAAAAATTAAATATCGTGTTGTATTATTTCAATAAATGGCTGCCAACAATTCCTCTCACCCTATATGTGCATGCTACTCCTCCTCCTCCTGATAATGAACTGGCCTCATGACTACCTTACAGAATGTGGTAAAAAAAAAAAAAAAAAAAAAATTTCAAAGACATCCAACCTCAGTTGGTAAGAAACTTTGTTGGTTTGCTTTTCCCCACTGGAGTTCCAGTCACCATGTTAAGAAACGTAGCCTAGACTAATGAATGACGGTACATCAGATATGTGAGAAAAGCCATTTTGGGTGTTTCAAGCTCCAGCTGAATATAGCCACATAAATGACCACAGTCAACATGACATCAAACACTGTCCAGCTGATCCCAGCAAACCCACTGTGAAAAATAATCATTATTGTTTAAAGGTACTAATTTTGGTGGTAGCTTGACATGAAGCAACAGAAATACCTGAAAGTAGGGTGATACAATGACAAAAACCTAAAACATGTGGCATTGGCTTTGGGTCCAGCAGGCAAGCAGAGGCTGGAAAATTGGTAAAGAAACTTTGATGGGGATGATAAAAGTAGTAAAATGGCTATGGTCAAAGACTAGCAAACAACCTGTTAGTGGAGGCTATAAAAGGAAGTGAGGCTGGAAAATTGATATTAGAAGCTAGAAAGGTGGGGAGGGGCTCTTTTATGTAATGACAGAACAATTAACAAGACTCAAGCCTTGGAGTAGACTAAAAACTTGTAGATCTGACTAAGGAAATTTCCAACCAGAATGGTAAATGTACTATTTGGCTTATATTAGTGACATAGAATAAGGTATTGCAAGAAGAGAGATGAGCTAAAGAGGGAATTCTTCAATTTTAAAGCAGAAATTAGAAAACATACAGTAGGTCCAGGACAGTATCTCTAGCCTGCAAAAATAATTCTCAAAGTAATAAGTCACTTTAGAGCAAAGATCAATGCCATAGTATTGACAACAAAATACATCTTCAGATCAAAGTCAAATGAAGGATATGACTATAAGACCTTTTCTTAATACCTCAGAAAGATTTAAAGAGATTTTACTTGGACCCTTCTAATTAGACAACAAGGCTCTTAATAATCTGAGGGTATTGTCCTGCAGATGCCTAATATACCTTCAGTAAAAAGAGGTCTATCTCAAAAGAATCATGAATGTGCCTTTTGGGAAAAAGAAGAAGCACAATAACATACACGGAATGCACAAGGTTTTTAAGACAAATACCCCATATTAGAGATATAAGGAAAGAGATATTTCAAAATGAAAAGAGGTCTCCAGACCCCAGTTTTCTGTGATCAGGGGCCAAGAGAGCTATTCAGCTGCAAACACAGGCCATTTTTATAGAAAAAGAAGGATTACTTAGAGGGTGGAACCAATATACCATACTGCAAAATAAAGAGCCACTTAGAAAAAGGGATTAGGGAACCACTCCCAGGGAGCAAAATTGCTCCCTAATCAAAGTA